CATATCATCAGTCTTTTTGCATGTTGAATCATCTTGGGCTAAACGAGTCTTGCAGTTAAAGTAGTTTGAGAATTCTGGTTGGCATGTCTTTAAAATTCAATCAAATCCACATATCAACCAGATCCAATTCAAACTGTGGAGAAAAAACTCATTGACATTTTAGTATCCATATTTTTATTATAAAAAAATCAAATAGCGTTTTAAAAAAGCAAGACTTTAAGACTAGTTTCTGTCATATTGAACTTAGCTTGTGTTCTAATACTTCCATGTGTGTCAAGGTGTTAGAGTTGTATTTAGTTTTCTTTTAGGCAGGATACCGATGAGTACCTTTTTCTTTTATTGCATTTATTTTATTAAATTCAAGAAAATGTTTTCACTTTGACATAATCTCAGGACATAATTATCCGGCTTCTTGTCTTATAGTGCACGGTTAACATCGGGCATAAAGGAATCGCTATTATCTCTCATGTTTGTAAGTTTGCGTCTGAGCAGGCATTTAGGATCCAACCACTAGATAACCTCTAGCAAATGTTGGATCTGCCTGAAAACTTCCTAAATGGCAAACATTTACTCATTGACTCCGTCATTTCAGGCCTGTTTGGATTGGCAGTGGCCCTGTCCTGATTGGCTGGTCTCAATGAGAACTTCGTGAGACAGATTTGTTTAACTGGGCGCTCTAAACTTTAGGAGGCATGATTATAAACGACATTGCCGGTACTTTACCTCTTAGATATTTGCATCATTCCTTTGCTGTTTTTTCTTATTTCCTGTGTCTTTGCTACACTTCCTGCAAAAAATGGTTAAGTAAGAAAGAATAACTTAGGGGAAAAGGTCATACTGTTATATCATGTGCAAGAGAATGCAAAGGTCCTATTGGTGTATTGTCAGTAAATTTTAAACTTAATTTGTGATATTTATTTTAAAAAAAAGTCTCACAATACAAGGATTTTTAAAACTATTTTTTTAGAACACCAAAAGCCTTATTGTGGTGTGCTCTAGGGTGAAAAATATATTTTTTATTGGGACAGTTAATCAGCATTTTTGTTTGGACGGTTCTCGAATGTGATTGTAGAAGCAAGAAGTACTCCACTCATCTTTAGATTTCCAACCTACATGAGTTATAAAGGGCTTAGACAAACATTGCCTTTTCCCCACTGATAAGACAGCCACCATCATGTCTCACTCACAGACTAGAAGTGTAGGGAGAATACTTCTGGCTGCTGCAGGGGAGCTAGGGTTACTTCTGCTTTCAAACATTTAATCTGGTGAAAATTGTGTAATACGTGTGAAGTGCCAAAAGAACTCGTCTGGAAACTGAAACTGTGTCTTCATATCTATGTCAAGTTAAACAACTAGGTTTATTTTGACAATAGTTGTGGTCTCTGGTATGAGCTAAGTAGCTTCAGAAACTCAAATTATCAGGAGGTGAATGGGATAATTTTCAGAGACCTGTCTAATCGCTGTCTGTAACCTGCTTCAGTTAGCACATGATCAGTGGTGCTGATAGTTATATTTGGGCTTCACGTATATCTCGTTCTTCTATATATAATCCAAATTTGGGTAGTGTTTGTGTAGGCCAAGCACATTTGCTGTTGAGGTTTCTTTTGAAAACACTCAACCAGGGAAAAATGCAAGAGAATAATAAGTCCATAAATCATACTAAAATGCCAGAAAGCACTAACTAAAACATTTTCATACGTATATTGCAGTAATAATGTCAAAAAGTAGAGAATTTATAAGGAACTTAAAGAATAGAAACATTATACAAACACAGTCCTTAATGTTTTTAAATGGAAGTTGTATGTAGAAATATTCTGTAGTTTTATCTCAAAATGCATTTTTTGTCAGTCGGGCTGTGAAGACGGTGCATGGAGTACAAAATGCTTTCTGGATATTACTTAGGATGACGGTGTGTTTTCACCAAAGAAAACTGAGTTTCTTAGGATGAATCACTATTTCCATCCAGAACTAATACTCGGTCATACAGCTGCAGGATCTCTGAATCTTTGAAGTGAACTCACTGTGATGCCTTCATTACATAAGATGACACCATGCCAGTTGAATTTCTCTAAGATAGATGAGGAAAAGAGTTAAATTGGAATTTGTTAACAAACAAAAAAAGGGAGCCAATTGTTACAGCAACAACAACAGAAATGTCTGCAATGTCTGAAAAGCTCTGGACCTACAGTTTGTATTTTTTGCAAATTCAATGCGTTTTCATTTAGCTCAGCTTTAGTTTGGCACTTTAGGATGCCTATATTTAATCCCAGGGTCAACATCTTTTCATGATAATATATTAAAAGTACTAATTACACATGTAATGTGTAATTATGTGTATGTAATGTAGTTTTATAGATAGATAGATAGATAGATAGATAGATAGATAGATAGATAGATAGATAGATAGATAGATAGATAGATAGATAGATAGATAGATAGACACAATTACATACATACAATGATAATATGTGTTAAATTTATAAATTTGCTGTTTGAAATGAATTGGTTTCACTTTCACTACTTTGTATGTATATTTAAGTAAAAAAAAAAACATCACTTAGAAGTTTCTAGCACCCTTCACTTCATTACCTCAAGACTTAATGGAACCTGTTTCCTTGGCTAGGATCTTCTGTTCCCAGATTTTTGTCTCATCTTCTGAAAATTCTTAACACCAGAGGCACCAGAGGATTAATGCGTTGTGGTTGGAGGAATTGTAATTCTTACTTTAATTTGCATTTGGCCCCTTGTGTGCTTTGAAAAAGGTAGTAGGCATAGAAATTATCAGTGTTCCAGCAGAAGAACATTAATATTCTACTGTTAAGCTCTAAATATAGGAGAACTGAACGTTCAATCTCCACAGAACCCTAAATGACTCCTTCCAGAAATGTACTTGATGCAAAACTCATTAAGTCATTTATATTACAATAATTTGGTTGTTTAGAAATATATATAAAAAAAGTAATGCTACTGATGCTGATTTAACTTTACTACTGTAGATAATTCATTTTAAGCTATCTAAACACAGAACAACAGTATCTCTGGGGAATAAAATGTGCCACAGTGCATCGCTTAAACTCTGGTTTCTAAAATAGTCTTTGGTGTGAATTGCATACACACAAACAGGGTTTTTTCAAGTCAATTAACTAATTTACATATTTTCACTATAATCTTTTTCAGATTTTAGTCCTGTTTACAGTAATCTGTTCATCTTCCACTATAAAAGGATCTAATGTACTTAATTTAGGATGTTTAAATATTAAAATAATTATATATAAATAGACTAGAAGAAACATTCAGAAAATTTCAAAGCAATTACAAAGCAATCATTGTGATGTGTTGGTTAAAGTTGTTTGGAATCACTTACTATTGAATCTAAAAGAGTGTGTTAGAATGTAAAAGCGTTGGAATGTATTCCACATCGGTAAGAACTAAAGAAGATGTCTTTGCTTGTGCTTTGCTAGTGGAAAGGTTTCCCCCATTTACACCACAAAGTGCCAGAAGATGAGGGAAAGGCAATAGTGATAACCTTGGTAACTGGGATCAGCTTTAATGGGCTTGAAAAGTTGGTTGATCAGGTGGACTAAATATTCCCTTAACATCAGTTTTGTTGTGTTGGCCAGAGTTGGAATGAATATACAGTGTAAAAGGCTGGTCAACCTGGATAAGCCATGAAATTATGTCGATTGATTTCCATTGTCGGGATGGTGCTTTAGCTGTATGACAATGAATAAAATGTGAGTCACCTCGTGAATTTTTATGTCTGCCAGGAAAAAGAACAAACATTTTCATACAGCTTTGAAAAAAGAAAGTTTTTTTTTTTTTTATCGAAATTGTGGCCTCAGTACAAAAAATCTCCCCCATGTAAGGTTGTTATAAATACCCCTCCTCATTACATACGGACAAAAACAAACACCTACAACCCCCAGAATAAAAAAGTATTGAAGTCAGCTGCAGTCTGCTACTTCTTAAAAAATGGACTAGCTTTCTTGCATTGCGCTCAGTTTCCTCTTTCCTCATGTGGTTTATTATTCTTCTCTTCGGCTGGCGTCCCTGCCAGCTTTACAACTCTCTCACTCCTACACACCACTCACCCTCTGTTAGGAGTTACATTCAAGAGTGTGGGCCATGCTCTCTGCTGAGCCCCCGTCTGCCATCTGCTTAGGAAAGAGATGGAGGCTCAATGACTGTAGCCAAACTCATCACCTCGAATGAATGATTTCCAACTACTCATTCCAACGTCGACTTAAAAAAAAAAAAAGGATTTGATGATAAGCATTGGTCGCCTTATTTTTCTTGGCAGTGCTCCTGATGAGTGTGCCACTGAGGGCCCGAGCACCCGAGCATTTCTTCCCATTAATGTTTTCCTCAAAAGCTCCATTTATAAAACATGGAAGGATGGTGAAATCTAATCAACTTGTGAGGTTTACCCCTAAAGTAATCTAAAGCCCACACTTGCTAACAATTACACCAGCGATACCCAGGGGCCTAATCTGATTGGTCTGTTTACCTTTTGCTGTCCTTGGAGATCATGGGGTAATTAAATCTGCTTCCTGGCTGACGGTTAGAAAGTTGCTCGTGTAGCACTGATGATTTCATCTCTGTAGATGTGCAGTATTAATAAAAATAGTCATAATGTGGAGTATTTCATTATTGCCCAACCAACCCTGAAACCATCTTTTCAGACAGACACTTATAAGGCTGTATTTCCTCTTGGCTAATTTCCCTTAGAGCCATTGAAAGTCAATCAACATTCTGCCAAAAATCTTCTTTGACTCTGATTCAGATTCAGCCAGAAGTCCTGTTTGGCCTAAAGAATAGGTTCAAAGATGCTTTCAAAGACTTCTAGCATTCATATGCTCCTGCTTTTTGTCGGTCATCCCCCTTGCATCCCTCTACATAAAAATATTTTCATATGTTGCCACTTTAGCATACCATACTTGCCCTGATTTTAACATGCAGTGTTGTCGTTTTTAACCATTGACATGTTTTTGTTACTCTAGGTGACGGCGACAGATGCGGATGGAGGCTCCTTTGGCTCTGTCTCCTACTCCCTTGGCTCTGGCAGTAACAGTGCTGTTCCCTCTCAGTTTACCATTGGCAAGGAGACGGGCCAGATCTGCACTAACGTTGTAGTAGACAGGGATCAAGGGCCGGACAGTTTCGACTTCACTGTAACTGCAGTAGACGGGGTAAGCCACCGTCCTTTGAAATTACGCTTAATGGGAATCCTGTGAGCCACATTGTAATCCTATAAACATGGCAGCCACGCTTTTTTTTTTTTTTAACAGCAGAGCAAAGACAGAACCTGCAATGCAAAAATATAAAAATAAAAAGAGTAAAAAAAAAAATTACTGTAAAAAGTAACAGTCAGGAAAGCTCTTCATGGTAGGTAGTCTTGCTCAGCCATCTTATTCGCTGGCTGCCAAAAACTACTTAAAGATGGAAAGGTTTTATATGAAGGAAAATGACTTTGGGTATGTTAAAGTAATCAGATGGAGAAATACCTCAACTGTCAAGGAGTAATACTTTAACAAGCTGAACTACCACCTCCCTTGGTTTTGCCACCTGGTCCAAATGAAAAGCCTGCACAGTATTCTTTTCAAATAAAAAGCCAATGAAATAGAGTCAGGTTCCTTGGGAACACTCGCCCAACATGGATCTTGAGATATTTCTCTTTCCCGAGGGAAGTTATTAATCTATGCTCATTCACAAATCTGTTTCTTTAGCAGTCTCCACCACACATTGAACCTTTAACAGGCTTTAATTCTTTTTTCTTTTTCATTTTTTAAGGGAGAGTTCATGATTTCTGGAGAGAGGTTATGTTGCTTTCATATAAGCAATCAATATCTTACCTGCAGTAGAAAAATCTGTTCGGGTTCTGATGTGATGAAAAACATAGATTAATTAGTCCTGCAGGTGGAAACTAACAACTAATAGTAGCCCAACCTAATAAGACTTCAACATTTTTAAATCAACTCCAGTCTTGAGAATTTAAGAACTTAATTCAAGTATATGCTGTTTCATGAGCATTTAAACCATCATCAAGTTTGCCTTTGATAATTATCTACCCTAATATCTGTAATAATCTAAATGTCTGTAAAAATAAAAAAAGGAAGTTAGGAGTCAATTTGCTACTAATGATGTTTCTGAGTGATACCAAGAACAGAACATGCAAAGTAAGGATGTGAATTATTTCATCCTGATTTGCAGTGCTTTATCACCATAAGACGAGGCACTACAAAGTTTTTGGATGAAATCTACATGCATCAGTTAAATACATTAAAGTATTACATTTTCTAAGTGGAAGCTCCTAGTGTTTAAAAAGAGAACTGCTACATACAAACAAAAATAAATCATCAAAGAGTAACTTAAAACCTTATGAGTCTAGCTTGGTAAATTCAAATTGAGCATTTGAGACAGCTATTACATCTAATTGTGTAGCATGAATATAATATCTCATCTAATTGATATACTTTTCTTGTGTAGTATTTGGATTATCTGCACATATTCTTTGATTATTTTTATCTATTTCCTAACATTCAACATTTTACTGTTAAACTGGCTATTCAAAATGTATTATCCTGTGACTGCCGTTATTTTTACATTTTCCGTATAATGAACATCCTTAGAAAAGAATAGATAGTTTACTTTCTAGGATTGATACAAATGGAGGGAAATTACAGGGCTAGGACCCCTAAACACAATCACATAGGTGGTGCATGTTCAGTGACAGTCTGAACAGCCTGCTGCTTGGTGTATGCATATCAATAGGTTTGTCTGTTTTCTTCTGCAGGGTGGACTGAGCTCAGTAGCCTATGTGAAGGTGGACTTGGTGGACGTGAACGATAATAGACCCGCTTTTTACCCACTCAGTTACGCTGTTAGTTTGAGCACACAGAGTGCCCCTGGGACATCTGTTCTTAGAGTGATGGCCTATGACCCAGACTCAGGCGAGAACGGCAAAATTACATACAAAACACTACCTGGAGGAGCCTCCCCATACTTTACCCTCAACAAAGACACAGGTTGGAAAAAGGATTTTCCTAATCACGTGAAAGCATGGTTGTATTTTGTATAAGCAAATAAACTAAGCTGTTTTTAACTATTTTGTAGGTGTTATCTCCCTGTCTCGGTCAGTCTATGGGAAAGCCAACTCCGTTATTCCCATGGTTATCTCTGCTCAAGATGGTGGTGGCCTCTTGGCTTTAGAAAATGCAAGAGTCAACATTAGTGTGGTGGCAGGGCTGGTGGCACCCCCTGTATTCGAACAGGCTCAGTACTACTTTACTGTATCAGAGGACGCCCTGCGTGGAACAGTGGTCGGCATCGTCCAGGCCAGCAGTAAGACAGGTGAGGACTATGGAAGTAAACTATGACCTGAAATCTGCAACTTCTGCATATATGCATATATGAAAAGAAAGTTGTTGCCTTTGTTTGAGCATCATTTTGTCACTACAGGTAATTCCAGGGGCATCGCTTACACAATAAGCTCTGGGGACCCAGCAGGCTACTTCACTGTGGATCCTGACACTGGAGCCTTAAGGACCAGTCTGCCACTGGATCATGAAACTCAGCCAATTCTTGATATAGAAGTGCAGGCCCGCAGCGGCAACCCTCCTGCATTTGGACAGACTCGTATTCAGATCACCATTGCAGACATCAATGATAATCCTCCCGTGTTTTTACCCTCGTCCTCAGAGTCTCTGCTACTGCCAGAGAACACAGAAATGGGCACAGTGGTGTATCGCATCCAAGCAGAGGACAGAGACTCAGGGCTCAATGGACAGCTTAGCTTCGACCTTTCCTCTCCAAGTGGAATTCAGAGGATTTTCAGCATAGAGCGCAGCACTGGAGAGATTCGACTGGTTGGAAGCCTCTGCTATGAAACTAACCCCCGCTATGACCTCTTGGTGATTGCCAAAGATAAAGGCGTGCCCCAGCTTAGTGCTACCCTGATGCTTGTGGTTCATGTGCAAGCAGAGAATGATCAAGGTCCTGTATTTGATACCCTCACTTACAGAGTTGAACTAAAAGAAGGAGCTCCTATAAACACTCGCTTCCTACAAGTCAGGGCTATGAGCAGAGAGATCCCAGGCTCAGGTAATCTGAGCCCACTAATGTATCATCTTCGTCCAGATGGAGATGCCGCAGGATTCGGCATAGCAGCAGACAGTGGCTGGCTTTTCATAAAAAACTCCCTAGACAGGGAGCAGAAGGACATATATCTCCTAACGGTGCTTGCCAGCGTGAGCCATGGAGGGTTAAAAAAGACGGGGAGCGCCACGGTCCGCATATCTGTGACCGATGAGAACGACAATGCTCCTCGGCTCGCCCAGCAGAGAGTTTTCATGGCTGTGAGAGAGAATCTGCCTGCAGGGACAGGTTTTGGTCATGTGTTGGCCACAGATAGGGACAGTGGGTCTAATGGACGCCTCAGCTACCGCTTCCTGCACACTGACCGCCACTTCCAGATAAACAGCTACACAGGTTTGTAAAAACAAATGTTTGTAAGTAAACGAAACTGAACTTAGCTTGTTTCCTTACATCAGGATGTGCACAAGTGGTGTCTGGATAATTATAGAAATGTACATAAGTGATAAGAAAAAGGTAAATGAACTAGAAAATAAAATTAATACAGAATTTTGAGTGTATTCTTGATTTTTTTAGCACATAGAAAATGATCCTGTATGTAATAAATCAGTATATGAATTAGAACTGCATTCAGAATTAAAAGGACTGGCTGTTTTTTGTTTAACGCCCTGGAAGCTAATTAACTCCAGCAAACAGTTTGCTTCAGTGGTGTTAAAATAAATTAGAAAAAATGGATTTAGCCAGCTAACTGAGTAATGTTTTAAAGATGAGAGAGTGAAGTTGGCTCCAGATTATGGTCATAAATAAGTCAGATAATGGCGACAGCAGCATGGAGTATCTTTTTAGGCTTTAATTGGCCCACTGAGCCTGTTGGTCTTTGGGTAGAGATGCATGCTCTGATTTGTGATCAGTGTCTGACTCAGTTATGCACCTCCACAGCATCTGCCAATCCTCATCCACTTATAAATGTGAGTGTGTGTTTGTGCGTGTGTGCGAGCGAGTGTATTAAACCACATGCTGTTTATGTCTGTTACTCCTGAGTGTCATTGATAAAAGCCTACTGACTGCTAAGTCCCTCATCATTATTCTAGTGTGTTCGTCTCTTTGCATAAACTCCCTCTCATCCATCCCTCTTTTTCCTCCCCAGGTGAAATCAGTACAAGGATGACTCTCGACAGAGAGCAGCAGTCAAGTTATCAGCTGATGGTGGTGGTACAAGACGGGGGTTCACCCCCTCGCTCTGCGACGGGCACCGTCTTCATTACTCTACTTGATGACAACGACAATGACCCAGCTTTTATTCATAGTCAATCAGGGAAAAATATCCTCATTCAGGTGATGTCATTAAGCCAAGGGCATAGAAAGGCAGAGAAATTAGAAAAAAAAGAACATATTTAAAATGATATTGGTGTATTTTGCTTTTAACCAATAGGTGAAAGAAGGTCAACCTGCTGGTGCTGTGCTGGGAACGCTGCAAGCCAAAGATCCAGATGAAGGAGAGAATGGCACAATAGTGTACTCCTTATCAGGTACGGTATATCGCATATCAAAAAATGTTCATAAAAACTCTTCATTTTATAATTTATTTTTATTGAAATTTTTAAAAAGTGGAATATGGGAAGTTTGTGTTTAGTAATTAGTAAAAATAGATGAAAAACTATAAATAAACAGTTTGGTTTTATCTTGGAGAAAAATGTGAACAAAGAATTTCCAGTTGGCCAACAAATGTGTGAGAAATTTCCTCCAACAAAGATGGCAAAGGCTTTGCATAGTGGAGGAATTGGGAAAAGGTGCCTGGAAGCTTAAACTGGACACTTTCAGATCCATCAAATGGCTTTGCATCAAGATTCATCATGTATCTGTTGCTGATGTGGCAATCTGGCTTTAGGAACAGTTTAGTAAATCCCCTGTTCTGGAAAATACTGTTAGAGTTTCTCAAAGAAGAGCCTTTTTCTGACTTTACTTAAAGGCAGCATCATTTTCATGTTGGGTGAAACTATTTAGATTGAGCTCCACACAATGTAAAAAGTTTTTTTTTTCTCTTGGAATCAATAAAAGACTGTCCTGAGAAAGACCAAAAACACGAATGTCAAGATTTTTATTAGCAAAATGTTCAAAAGCTACACTGTGCTTATATCAATTCTATATCAGTGGCTCAGTGAGAAGCTACCTACATTTTTATTATTGTGTGTTAAAGTAAAGGGCTACAATGAGAAATTTGGAAACAGATTACTTTGATCAAAGAGAAAATTTTCAGTGAAAGAAAAAACATAATTTAATTGTAATTGTAAGTACTTATTTGTTTGTTTGAAGAAACTTATTTTTTTGATTGAATGATCAAGACACAAATGTCCTACCCATTATATGGTCCAAGCAAAAAACAATTCTACTTCAATTAAAAAGTTGCTTTAAACAAAAAAAAAAAACTTCTATCAAAGAAAACATTTTCAATCAAAGAAAAGCAGTGTTCAGATGTATCTTTTTGAGTTCTAACTATATTTTTATTTGAACATTTTCGCATTCAAATACTTTTTTCTTTGATTAAATTTATTTTTTCATTGAAATGAAAGCGCTTTTAATTGAAAATATACTTTTTGATTTAAGCAACCTTTTTTATTGAAAACTAAAGACACAAATCTACCTTCATCGCCAACTGCAAAGCAACATTCCATTATACCATCATGCCATGCCACTTTACCTATAGAAGAATTTAGATAAAGACAGCAAGCCTGACCAAGATAATATACATAAAAAAATAAAACTAAAACTGGAAATAGAAATAGAAATCAAAAGTGAAAAGGATCACAAACCTCAAGCACACAAAATCACAAAAACATCATTTCCAAAAGTGCACATAAATCCAATGCTGAATTGCCAACACTGGCCTGGCTATTCCTCAGTTGGAATTATGAGGAGATTCTTGAAAAGAATGCATGCCAAAATATGCAATGTGATTTTTATCACATGCAAATACGTTTTTGATATGTGTGTGCAGGAGGAATGTGATTAAATAACAGCAGAAACATCTACTGTATGCAGCTGCTTGAATTTCTCAGAGTGTTGAGCTTTCAGAAGGTGTTAAAGAATGAAGTGCAAAAAGAAATGATTTTGATAAATCAACTGTGGTAAGAAACATGGACTGGTTCTAGTACAAAGTAAGAAATAGGAATAAAAGAATGTGCTTTTATAGAGAGGCCCTACGTGGAGTTAACCATAGGTGTTAATAGAAGCCATAAATGTCAGATAGCAAGAAATCTTCTCTCATTGTGACACAATCATCTGAAAATAAAGGATGAAGCATAAGGATGACCAATAAAACTATATGTTTAAAAAAACATACATGTGCATTGACATTCATTGAATGATGCATTTGGACGAAACTCCTTTGTCAGATTAACAATAAAATAGTGTTAAAAATTATGTTAAAAATAATGTTGAACAACGATGTAACATTATAAACTTAAATATGGCGTTCTTATTAACTTTAAGCAGAAAATCAACATAGCAGAAATGAGGGAGTGAAAATATCGGTATGCGTCCTTGACCTGTATAATACGGTTCAAAATTGTGTTAATAAAATGAATGATTTAACTCCTTACTGTATTTAAATTTTCTGAATATGATTGTATATGAAAAAATAGATATACTTTTCTCACTCCCACTAATCAGTCTTATGTATGCATTAATGTAAAAGTAAATCACCTCTTTGTGTCTGTAAGTAAAGTTAAACAAAGGAGACTGTTTCTCATGATCATTTGTCATCCAAACTAAAGCGCTTGCCTTTATTTTTCACACTTCAGGTTTGTGTATTTTACCTTCCTATAGTTATCATCTCCTGCTAAACGTTAAACTTTGTGTCTCTTCAAGGTCCCAGGGCTGAGCGTTTCTCTTTGAATGCAATCACCGGCGAGCTGCACTCATCATCCCCTCTCAGCCACTCGGAAAGGGCCGAATATTCTCTGACGGTGACAGCCACTGACAGAGGACTACCCCCGCGCAGCACCTCCTGCTCCCTTACAATTCAGGTCAGACTCAGACTGGAGCTCAGCCAGCACAAACACTCTCACTACACACCTATTTAATATCAAAGAATGGAGCCAGGGTTGAGAGGATCCTTGTCTCCGGGCTCCTCAGACTAGCTGCCGACATATCAGCCTCACTTCTGACAAGGCCACCTCCCACCCTCCTCCCTTTTTTCTCCTCTTGTGAATTTTCTAAAGGGAAATTTCAAGTTGAAATGGAAAGTGGGTCTAAATTAAATACTCCCAGCTGGCTTATGATGAAGACCAGCTGTAGAATGCTCAGATCAAGGTCATACCCAGTGACTTCAACACTTTTTTGGTACAGTAGCCCTTTTTACAAAAAGTTGCAAAGCTTTACTTACACTTAACCTAAAATACATCACTAAAGTTATTTTTAAAGGTAATATATAATCTGGGAGAGAAATGGAAGAAAATAAAGAGTCTTGGAAGAAACAATAATTCAAGGGTTCTTGGAAAATAGAACTGGCATATCCACCAAATACCAGTTCAGTTTTTCTTTCTTTTCAATTATTATAAGAAAAACACGACACTCATAATTATTAGTTAATTCGGTCAAACATCGCTGTTTTTCTTGCTTGCTGACGCATTTATAAAATAATTCCTTATTTTTTAATATCAATGTTTTTAGGTTCATGTTACTCTTCCATCTGATTACAAATTTCTGCTAATTATTATAATCGCCTTATTTAAAAACATGTTTAAAGAGCTTATTTAGGAAACTGCTGTTGGAATCTATTGTGAGAACAGAAAAAAGAAAGAAACTCGTTCGAAACTCATTCTGCTGCTGTTATTTAGTTAAACTTGTGCTCTTTTCATGCTATGCTGTAATATTTGAAGAAGAATAAACAGCCCCTTCAAAAAGTACAAAGCGAGGAATCAATTTTGCAGTGTTAAAGTCAAATCCTTGAACTGTTTCTTCCTTTGATTCTGTTACTTTTATCATCTATTATTTTTCCTGGCAGTAATACAAGTATCATATTGAACATAATTAATGGTAGCTGCCCTTTCATCTATAAAAGAGCTCTTGTGACTAGATTAATTTTCTACCACTGAACACATTCAATGTAAGTGAGAAGACTGGATCGAATCTGCTGTTGTCTATTGATTTTAATGTTGCTTGTCATTATAATGCATATACTTTGGTTTTACTTAATTACAGGTGATCAGCAAAAGCAGTCAAGACACTAAGACGAGGACCCACTCCGTAATTTTCAACTCTGTGGAGGAGGAGGCCACTCCTGGCACTGTTATTGGCACGGTTTGCCTCCATGACAGAAAAACCACCGAAGAGGGCAAGGTGACGTACACAGTGATCGGAGGCACCGATCAGGATGGGACTTTTGTCGTGGACCGCCTAACTGGTGATGTTTACCTAGCTTGTCCTCTTGACTATGAACGAGACAAAAGGTACAGCCTGAAAATCGAAGTGGATGACTTCTCGCAGGTCCCTCCTAGAAGCACGCTAGTCAACTTGGACATTGACATAGAAGACAGCAACGACCATTCCCCTGAGTTTGCTGAAGACCCCATCACAATCGTCATCTCTGAGAACACGGAGGCAGGCTCCTCTGTTTATACTTTCCAGGCAACAGATAAGGATGGCAGTGGGCCTAATAGTGAACTGCTATACTCTATTCTCCAGCAGTGGCCAAATACCCCTGGGCTTTTCAAACTTGACCCTGTCACTGGTATTCTCTCTTTGGGTCACAAGCTGGATCATGAGGTCACGTCAACAATGATGCTGGTCGTTAAGGCGACAGATTCGGCCCTCAATGCCAGCCAGAGGCATTGGGGTTCTGTCACAGCAAGAATCTATGTAACCGACGAGAATGACAATCCACCAGTATTCATATCGCCAACAGCTGTCAGCGTTATGGAGGACCAGCCTGTGGGCTTTGTGGTGCTTTTTCTGATGGCCAGAGATGCTGATCAAGGGGAAAATGGAAGGGTGACCTATAAAATCCAATCAGGCAACACAGGAGGGACATTTAGCCTCAACCCTAACACAGGTAAGTTAAGTTATTGAAGTTAGGTTCCAAGAGTTTTGGTTTTCTTATTAAAACTGTGTCATGAAGACATGTCAGTCGGAACATTTTATCCCCCCATGAGGCAAGTTTGCCACAACTTAAAACCAGAGACAATGACAGATCTGGTGGAAATAGAAATGCTGAAGGAGGGCAGATATTTCTCCATTAGATAAGTGAACAGCAAGATTCTATCCATTAAATCTAAAACAAACAGCAGAACAAGTAAAACAACTATTGGGGGAAAACAGTATCGCCAGATTGAGAGGTTGTGGAGTTACTTGAAAAGGCAAGCCCATATTCACCGCTGTAGATTCAAACTGCTGTAAAGCTGCATCCTTGTTCATATATTCAGCAATGTATTCGACAAAGTGCTGTATATTGACCTAGATTATTAATGTTTATGTCTCAAATTTAGTTAATGCTTGGGTCAAAACCTAAAAAGTGCTGCTTTGGTGCTGCTTCTGGAAACAATGTATGAAGAGTTTCAAATAAATCTTAAATTTTATATATCAGCTTAATCTCCTGAAAATTTAGAAAATCTAGATTTTCAATTTTGAGTTCATACATATAAGTAGAGAAATATTTTTATGTCATCAGGTCACTTGTTAAGAAAATCCGCAAGGATACAAATGTTTTTATTCTGACATGTTGTGCAACTTCTTTTTTAGGTGCACAGAGAGAAAAACACATTCCACTTAGCAGATTATTTTAAGATCAGCTTAACTTGCAGGTTTTCCATATCATTTATGCATAAAGAGACTGAAATTACCTCAGGTGTAGGTTGATTTCATTAATACTTCAAAGTCGATTTTGCAATATGTTTTGGGTCATTAACCTGTTGAAATTCCTATTGATGACCCATTTTCAGTTTATTTGCAGTGGTCGCTAGATATTTTTTTAAATGTCCAAGAATTTCAAAGGTCCATGTACTCAAATTAGTTTTCCAGCTCACAGCATCCTTGATACTCACACATACTTAACAGTGTGAAAGTACAGTACTGTGTGCATAAACTCAAAGGTTTCTCATTTTTTGTTTATTCTGAATGGAGAGTTATCTGTAGCCCTGATTTGGCTTCCAATGATACTGATGCGAAGTGTTTCTTTAAAATTTCTTAATATCAACTAATTCAATTTATAAATAAGAATTTGTGTATTGTCATAGCTTCGAAATTGAGCTTACAGTACTACACAAACACACAGTAATATGCTGCTTAATTAATATGGAGAACAACAACCACTTGGTTGTTGTTCTCCATACTATCCCTATGTTGGAGGCTGAAGCAGCATGCCAAATAATAAACTCACACATGAGAATGTGCAAGCACATGTGCACATTCACCACAACAACCCATCATCTATTATTGTAGGTCTATTCCCATGAAAGAGCAAAGAACCTCCTGCCCAGGCTTCTGGGAACCATTAGAGAGGGGATCAGTTACGCATGTTTGAATGTGTGTGTCTGCACGTGTGTGTTTTTAAGGGTGCACTCGCCTTATGTGTTTGTGTACTCGCATGACCCTGCCCCTTAGTCAACACTGACCCCGAGCTATTTGGTCCTGTGGGCTTTGTTGTGGTGTTTGAGACACGTGTCAAGATTTGCTCTACCTTCCCTTAAAGTCCCAACCAGGATTCCCCCATCTGGATGGAATCCTGTCTGTTTTCATCTCAAAGTGTTTTGATGAAAACAGGATATTAAATAATCACAAAATTAATCAACCGAGTATCTTTGCTGCCCCTGCTTTGGGGTCTCTGGCTGAATCTTGGTCCAAGTCATCTCCAATCTACTTTATGGTCACTTTTAACTTCTGAAGAAGTAGCCATCAGTGAGTAACACTCATTTTATATCAGAAGAGAGGTCATAGTATTATTTCCAGTCAATATTTACAGTAAATAGAAGAGTGTGTTGCTTAGTTTCTGTACAACTTTATAAATAAGGTTTGAGTTCAAGTTTACTATTGAGGAAAATGTAAAAACCAAATAACCTAAAACAGTAAACCATGAGAAGCATTAAAAGTATGTTCCTACATAATTAAACAAAAACAAGTGAAAGGATATACAGTATGAGAGTAATAAGGCTTTAAATTGTGTAAAAAGAGTCTACAGTATGAAAGCTGATGAATACATATAGATTTTATTGTTAGATTTATAACTTGGTATGAAGAGATAGAATATATAGAGACGCTAATATTTCTTAATTTAGGAGCTACAACTTTGAACGGCAGAAAACAGCCATGTAGTAGATATTTGTCCATAACATTCATTAAATAATTGAACAGCAAGATTCAACACTTAAATACTAAAGCAAACAGGGAGAAAGTATAGCAAGTATTGGGGAAACATCCTCATAATTGTTTTTAGAAAACTGCGCTTTGGATTTACTATGAATGACCGAACTGTTTAACAACAATGTATCCTGATTTATACAGTAATAATATAGTTGGAATGTAGTTAAAAGTCAGGTCATCATTTCAAATAAGAAATAAAAACAAACGGTTAAAAGCTGCAGATAAAATAGTCCCAGTGTAATTATTTTTGTTTTATTTAAAACTAAAATAATTTGCCACACAAGAGCCTTTAATGTAAGATGTTATAAAGGCTTAATGTTCCACGACCTCTACAAGGAATGCTGCAATTACCATGGAGACCAAAGATAAGTATTTCTATGTTTTTGCCTCATTGAGATTGTGGAGGTTAGAAGTCGTTCAAGCTTTAATGTCTAAAACATTCAGAAAATGTTTTGCAAAAAATAATTATTGCACCTCATTTGCAAATAGATATAAGCTGTTGCTTCTTAAAATCGTTCTAAAAATGTCTGACTGAAGTTTCCAGTAGTATTTTTGATCATTCATCTACAGTATTTGTGATGAGCTTTAAATCCTTTCATTATCTGCATTGATTATCTATTGGATTAAAGTGACAACTCTGGTTGGTCCGCTCTAAAATGTTATTACTATCAGTTAAAAGAAAAACGTTGATGAAATTAAAATATTCAGCTATACATGAGTAGGGCATGAATACTTTTCAGTCTTATTTTGTCTACCTCTATAAAAAGAGACATAATCTCTAAAAATACAGTAGAGCTTAAAGGATGGATGCCTATGAAGAATCAAAAGTGGTCCAAGAGTATAACCTTGGGGAACTCCCTGAGAGACTGGGGCCAATGGATAAAAAGATTCCCCAAGGTTTCCTCTTTTACAAAACTCCTGTCAAAGAAGTAGGACTATGCGAGTACAGTGTTTGGAATGTAACAGGATATTGT